TATGGCTGCAATGTGTGGTTTGCAGATGTGAATGTCATCAAAAAAAAAGAAAGAAAGAAAGATAAAGAAAAAGAAAAAAAAGATGAACAATGAACAACACAAGAGCAATTATAATGTGGTGTCCACGAAAACATGGCATAAGTGTCATCTAATAAACCCATCAACACTTTCAAAGTCCTCAAAATAATTACACTTCCAGAACTATTTACAATTTCATACTTTGAGAGTACGAGAACAAGACATGAGTGTTGCCGTGCAGGCCAACAACTTTCTCATCAGAGTCACACACTCGATGTGACGTCACACACCTCTAACACTTACATTCATGAATTGTAATGATCATCAAGAGGTCCAACACTTTTCTCATCAGAGAGCCATACGATTCATATAACGTCCCACGCCTCAAACACTTTCATTCTCAAATGATCATCAAGGAATCCAACAAAATTTCTCATCAGCAAATCACACCATCGATATGACGTCACACACTTTTAACACTTTCATCCATATTGTAAGGATCATCAAGACGTCCCACAATAATATTTTCTCATGAGTCACACACTTCACATATGACGTCACCGTGCATCTATAAATCTCTCCACTCACATCCTCCCCCACTCCGTCCACACACGGACGCTATCTTCGTCGTGAAAAAAACCCACTGGATCTGTCGGGGAACCTCACTAGTTTTGATTTGACTAGAGAGAGGGGAGGGGGAAAGGGGAAGGGGTGGGGGGGTGTTTAGTAGTACGTGTACCAAGTTGTAGGCGTTGTGTTAGTTATTTCAGAGAAAAACCCCTTAACTTTCCAAAAATGATTCCAGACAACTAGGTCCTGGAAATGACGAGGAAATTTGGAAACTACCACGAAGCATGTTCGCGTAGTGGCGCCCTGTCTCTCTGGTATTGTTTGGGACCTCCTGCTACACAGCCAGTCTATTTAACGGGCCTGATTTCCCCACCAACACTATCTCCGGTGACAAAAAAAGATAATTGGTATAGGTTCAACACGATCTCTTTCAACACAATAAAACGCCACCTCTGACAGAACAAAGGAGCATGGAGCACGATACAATAATTGTATTTCTTCGAACATACAGAGAACAAGAATGACTATAACAATGGCGATTCTAACCAGTCTCTGATGCAACAGCCCAGTACATAAAACAGGACACTCTTAACAGTGCATCCTCTCTTGGGAACCAAAAGTTTCAACAATTTTTTAAACGCTGTAATATGTAAAACAAACCGCCCCACCCTCACCCCCCGGACATCCAAACCACATAAAAACTAATGAAGTGCTTCTCTGATCAAACAACTGCAGTGCTAAGTTTATTCTTGAAACAACAAATTGTATCTGACAAGACAATCCAAATGGTTCTATTCCACACAACAGACATAAACACCTTCAATGTTCCACTATATCAGCTCAGCAACTCAGTGCCACCAGTCAACCCCCCCCCCTCCATACACACACCAAATATGATCACATAACTCGTTAAAACAACACCCAACACAGCCCAGAACACACAAACAATGTACACCTTCCTTTAGGCAAACACTTACATAGTCACACACAACTTCAACCTCACAGGGTACACTTATACACAGTCACAATTACACCTTTATACACAAACACACACATATACACGATTACACCTTTATACACAAACACACAGTCACAATTACACCTTTACACACACACACATACACACAGTCATGATTACACCTTTATACACACACACACATACACGCAGTCATGATTACACCTTTATACACAAACACACATACAAGTAACAATACGCACACATCGAGTCACCCCCAAGTCAGAAAGGACATACTCTCTGTCTCTCTCTCTCGCTCTTTCTCCACGGGTATAATATATTCACACTGTGCTGGAGATGGCCTCACAAATAAATAAATCCAAGGACGAGATCAGAACACACAAGTGTCCCCACTGTCTCCCACAACGAGCTCCCGGGAGAGGGCGGGGAAGAAGAAATTATCCAAGACACAAAAATCCCATCATGTAACTGTTCCACAGTTTCTTCATAATGTTTCCTGCATCGTCCACCGCAGGATCGAACACAAACACACAAAGTTTTGAGAGAGCTACACCCCCGCCACCACCAGCAGGGGCGAGCATTGTCAATGACTCATGGGCCAGCCACTGGGAAAAATAACACAACTCCACAACAACAGAACCAGAACTCAGCGTACTTGAAAACATCATGGCAGAGAGAGGGGGAGGGGCGGGTGTCCCATCCGTCTCGTTAATTATTAACACAGCAAGTTGCAGATGTCACATAATGTGTGTACCACAGTGCGTATGTACGCCTGTGTGTACAGAAGTGTGTACATATGATGAGCGTAATCCAGTGCGGGTAATCCATCCCAAATCTTCTCACATATAATATATGTGAGAACACAAACATAACACAGGGCGAGGGGGGGAATAGAGTCTTGAGTCATTCATTGTAGAGACAACTGTAGATATTGTGCGTCCTCTGAACTCCACGGGAAACAAAAACAAAAACAAAAAAAACAAAACAATACAGAATCTCAGATAAGTCCCTTCAGTTGCTGACTGGGCACTGTTGCTGAGGCTGAGGCTGAGAATGACTCCATCACGTGCACAGCTGAGCAGTACATTCTAGAGGAGTAGGGGGGGGGTGACTCCGCCCGCACAGACATCAGCGTACAGCCTGATGACACAGCTCACACCGGCGGTCGTCCTCTTCCAACCATACCCCGCAGAATTCAGACAATCCAGACACAAGTCTGTCTCAGTCTCCCCCGGGGCCACAGACAGTCAGAAGACGACTTGCGTCCAGAGTTGGTCAGTAAAATACTCCAGACATCACTCACGTCATGAGCTTGCACGGGTCGAGAGTGCCTCAGCTCAAGACCAGCGTGACTAACGGACTTGGTTGGAAAGCGTGTGGTGGTGGGGGATAGGGGTTTGGGGGTGGGGTGGGGGTGCTGAGGCAGCTAACAAGCAGCCTCAACCCGCCCCCCCCCCTTCCCACCAAGAAATTAGTAGAACAGGACCCGAAGAAACAACCAGGATAGAACTCAGCACAGATCAATACAGGTCCTATCGTTGTTACACTCCATAAGTGTACATGTAGACCAGCACACTCTCGGCGTGAACTCACACGCACGGTACTCTAGTTGTAGGGCACTGAGAAGTACGTCACGTCCACCTCTGACGTCACAGCACGTCACCCCGTGTGTGGGTGTACTCTGCTCACTCACAGGGACAGGCGGCTGTACTCAGCCTCTGTTCTCATGTATCCCTGGCTATATCAAGTATACCTGGAAGAATCTTATCCATGTAAGTATCATTATCCCTGGCTGTATCATGTATCCATGGCCCAGTCTGCCAGTCTCCGGTAACGACCGGGTCTTTTGAGCTGTCTCAATGTCAGTGTTTTTTAAGCCCCCATCCACACAATTTCGATCATTCAGGAGGCAGACGGGCTTCCGACCCTGCTTGTTGGGACCAACCCGGGGTGTGAGGGAAACAGCATCCCAGCAGAAAGGTAGAGAGATACTAGATAAACATTTCTCTCCCTTTTCAGAAATGGAACTTGGTTCCCCTGCGTGTGACAGAGCAGCGCCAAACTGCAACATCACAGACACCTATTGTGTTGGTGTGTCAATGTGTCCGTGTGTATGTCTGTCAGTGACAGAGCTGAGCACTGTCTAGAGTGCCCATATTCGTGTGCCTCTGTGTCCTCGAATATGTGGGTCACTGTGTCCGTGTACTATCTGGAGACAATGTCCAGGTCTGTGTGTCACGGTGTGTCAATGAGTCGGTGTGTCTCACACTGTGTCAGCGCCATGTACTATCTCGAGTGTGTATCCGGGTCTGTGCTGCTGCCCTCCCGCTTGTCCTTGAGGTCGCTGGTGCTGTCGGGAGGACTACAACCTTTGACCTTACTCGAGGAGGAGGGTGAGTTATCGTGACTCCGGGCTGAGGAGGAGGAGGAAAGGAGGGTGGGGGCGGGGGCGGTGGAGCTGGAGGAGGGGATGAGCGGGGGCGGGGCACCGGGGAGACCTCCCCCAGGGGAGTTGCTCTTGATCCCCGGCACGCCCCCGTGGCCAAACATGGGGCTGAGTGTGCGCGGGAAGTAGCCGCCCAGGGCCAGCGGGTCCGCCATGCGCAGTCGGTCAGCGGTGAAGGCCGGGAGCCGGTCCAGGTACTGTCGCCGCAGCTCCAGGTCTCGCTCGTGCTGCTCGCGCGCCATATGTTCCTTTACCCGCTCCTGCTCCAGGGCGGCCAGGTGGGAGGGTACTGCGGCCAGGCGAGACATGACGGCCGCGCGTTCTCGCTCCAGCTCAAGTCTCTGGCTCAGCTCAGCGGCCGACTTGTCGAAGGGGCTCCACATGGACGTAGGTACGGGAGGCCGCTCCAGAAAAGGGTAGGAGGCGCCAGGTGCCCCCATGAGGCCCCCTACTCGCCTGTCCAGCATGCTGAGGCCCGGGGCTCCGGGAACCCCCGGCCCGAAGGGGCTGAGTCCGATGTAGCCGCCCGACTGTAGCAGTTTATGCCTCTGCTCCTCCGCCTGTATGAGTTTTTCTCTTTCCGCCCGCTCCGCTACCACCACGCTCTGCAACAACTTCTCCTTCTCCAGTCTGTCACGCTCTAATCTGTCTCTCTCCATTCGATCTCTCTCCAACCGCTCTCGCTCTAACCGGTCTCTCTCGAGCCTCTCTCTATCCATCCTTTCCCTCTCCATCTTCTCTCTCTCGAGGATGTGAGGTGGGATGATGGGGGCGGCTGGCGGGAGCTCCTCCTCCTTCAGCTTGAGTCCCCCGGCAGACAACGACAGGGGTTTGTCCTCGTACCGCCGCTCGTAGTGGCCGCCCAGCTCCGGCTTCACGTGACCATCCAAGCGACCGTTACGCAGCGGCGACCTTGACCGCGACCTTGACTTTGGCCGAGACGACTCGCCGCCATCTTTGTGACGCGAGTCCTCTAGCCCAGCCAGACGATGGTTCACGGACGACCTCCGCTCTCTGGAACGGAATAGGAAAAAGAAATAAATTTACAACTCCTGTTTGTTTTGTATGAGTAAAGAGAATCACATGGGTACAACTACGGTCATTTAGTGCTGGGAAAAAGAGCAAAACACAGAAAAAAACAACAGAGGTCAGGCAAAGAAGTGGTACCCTCCAACCACCACATTCAGACACATATACAATCCGCCAGACACAGAACAAATTCCCCCTCTCCCTTTCTTTCCCTCCCTCCCTCTCTCCCTTTCTTTCCCTCCCTCCCTCTCTCCCTTTCTTTCCCTCCCTCCCTTCCCCCCCTCTCTTTCCCTCCCTCTCTTCTTTTTTCCTCCGTCACGCACGCACGCACGCACGCACGCACACCACAACATAGTCCACACATTCCACAGCACAGTCCACACACACACACACACACACACACTCCAATACCCAAACAAAACACAGACAGGAGAGAGAACAACAAACACAAACCCTGCCGGAGGTCTACCCGCGCAAAAACGCAGGAAAAATTCGGCCTGCAAAACAAGCTGTTTACAATAAAGCATGCAGAACAGAATAATTGGTCGATTATCGATTTCCGTGCCAAACAATCATATTTTTGCCACGGGAGCAAATAAACACACAAAATGATATACGGTTAAAAAACTGAAGCAGGCCGCAGAAACAATTTCAACCCCGGCTTGAAACTCAACTCAACCATGTGTGGGGTGGGAATTTTTCCTGGGCATTCCTGTCCTAGGTAAAAAAAAACAAAAAACCCTAAAAAACCAAAGCTTCCAATCCTGCCAGCTAGTTGCCATAACACGTCTTCTGTTATTAAATAATTCCACATGTGTGCAGTAGCATGCTCTTGTGTTTTTGTGTGTGCTAGCGCGCGCGTTGGTGTGCGTGCGTGCGTGCGTGCGTGCGTGTGAGTGAGAGAGAGAGGGGGGGGAGAGAGAAAGAGAGCGAGAGAGACAGGGAGCGAGCGAGAGAGAGAGAGAGAGAGAGAGAGAGAGAGAGAGAGAGAGAGAGAGAGAGAGAGAGAGAGAGAGAGAGAGCATACTCATGTGCTTGTGTGTAGGTGCACATTAGTGTGTATGTGAGTGCGTGTGCGCGCGTGAGCGTGTATGTGTGCGTGTATGAGTGTGTGTATGTGCGCACGCGTGTATGAGTGTGTGTATGTGCGCACGCGTGTGTGCGTGTGTACATGAATGCGTGCGTGTGAGAATGTATAAGCGAGCATTCAAACGTCAGAGGGCAGCATACCTGCGCGTGTGAATGTTTGCACTAAGCACATGCGCTACAGAGAGAGCTCAGCTCACTCACACTTCATCATATCATCAGAACATGAAAAACTCCAATCTCTCTCTCTGTCTCTCTCTCTCTCTGTCTGTGTCTCTCTTACCTCAACGACTAGCGCAGGTGGGGAGGACAAGGAACTTGATGGGAAAAGCAGAGTGGGCAAAAACTCAACACAAACTTAGCAAGATGAAAAGGAAATACGGCAGCAAGCTATAGACATTATCTAGAACTCGTTCTCCCCACACGCACGCGTGCGCGCGCACACGCACGCACACACACACACACACACACACACACACACTCACGGGGTACAGTCGTGCACCCATATAAACACAAGACACACAAACACATCCATTCAGATAGACATACAGACACACGCGAAAGTATATTATACGCACGCACGCACGCACGCACGCACACGCACACGCACACGGACACAAACACACACACACACACACACACACACACACACATACACACACACACACACACGTGCGCGTCTCTATGGGTTTTTCTGAACACGATGATGCCTTTCCCGGCCCCATCCCCCTCGTCTGCCCGAGAACCTTAAGGCCTGTGTACACTCATCACAGTTAGCTGAAACGTTCATAAGGGCCACTATAAGAATGACTTCCTCCAGGTTTTCTAACGTTTACACCACATTGACCCCATTGGACACGACTTTCTCAGATCAATCATATTGATTTTTCCTTGTGCCGGTCTGTCTGATTCAGGGGCAGTAATTTACTACGAGGAAGGGAAAGCTCCGCGCGTCATCTAATGTGTTTGACTTTGGAGTTACCCGAGTACAGAGAACCGCATCGACACAAAAACGTTCCCATTATAGTGCTAGGAAGAAGAAGAAAAAAGACGGATAGAAACGGACAACAGAGGAAAGGAAAAGAAGTAGGTTCTATCAGTGGCGCCCTCCAACCACCCTCGCCATCTAATCCTCTGGAATTGCCTTCTTGCGAGAGAGCACGGCAAGAAGAGATTTAGGGAAACACTGTTGAGTCCTACTCTCTGACTTTGCTGTCTGTTCATTGGTATGATATAGATCTAATATTCTTGACCAACAGCGCAGTGGACCATAACACATGACAAAGTCAAAGCATTGTCGCACAATTACCCTTGATAAAAGTACATTACACAATGTCCTGTGTCCGCACTCACCTCAGTAAAAGTTTTACTCGTGAGACAATATTACGTCAAATAAGGGCCAAGCATTAGAGTAGCGTGTGTAAAGAGAAGCACATCGACAATGGTCATTTGGCGCTGGTGAAAAGTAAGACAGACGGACAGAAAAAAAAATCAGAGGGAAAGTGAAGAAGTAGGACCTACCAGTGGCGTCCTTCAACCACCCGTTTACTAGGGAGTAACGCACAAGAAGGAAAAAGGAGAAGGAAGAAAAAAAAAGAAAATAAGGACGATAGCTGTCCGATACGAAAGGAAAACAAAACCACACCCGATCATCCGCCAACCTCCCACTTAACTTAATCATGCAGACATCCGACAAGTCGAACAACTGTGTACGCTACCATAAACACAAATCACAGCTGTTAGGAAAGAGAAAGAGAGAGGGAGGGGGTGGGGGGAGAAGAGAGAAATGGGAAATCAAAGCTCAAAACGAATGTAGAGAAGTTCTAAAAGAGTCTTTGATTGCAACAAGCGTCGCCCCTCACACCCCCAGCATATCAATGCCAGACCTCAAAGACTTCACAGGTTCACAACCCTCCCCGGCGCCAGCGGATGGGCGCACGTGTTCGCTCACACACACACACACACACACAAACACACACAGAGAGAGAGAGAGAGAGAGAGAGAGAGAGAGAGAGAGAGAGAGGGGGGGAGAGGGGAGGGAGAGAGACAGACATGTGTGTAAGAGAGAGAGAGAGAGAGAGAGAGAGAGAGAGAGAAAGAGAGAGAGAGAGAGAGACAGAGAGAGAGACAGAGAGAGAGAGAGTTCAGTAGTTACTCACTTCACACCTGCAGCAACATTTTTAAAAGATACCGACGACACCTCCCCTTTTTTTTTCAACTCTCCCCTTTATCTCTCTCTTTCCCTTTGCCATCATCTAACGCCTCCATCTTTCGTCTGTATCTTCTTTTTCTCTTTCAGTCTGTCTACCCCCCTCCCTCCCCCGGTCTTTTTATTTTCTATACTTACCTACCCTCTCTTACCCATCATCTATCTCTCCACCCCAATCCCTCCCCGTTCACAAGGTACAGAACTATGTACCAATGTATCTGGAAAGGCTCGCAGAACGGAAGTCAAATCAAAGAGAAAGCTCACAGGATGTGGGGACATGATG